AAATATTTTCAAGATTTGTCTACATTTGATATAAGCAGGTATGCTTCACTGTTTTTGAAAAGAGCTTACATTCCATATGTGTGTTGTTTTTAAAAAGCTAAAAGCCTTGCAGACAGGCATGGTGGTGCATGCCTTTAATCTCAGGAATACAGCCCTCGAACTGTGAGCCAAAACAGACCCTCACCCTTCAGCTGCTTTAGTCGGGAATTTTATCATAGCTAGGAAAAAATTAACACCTCAACTTTTATGCGCGCGCGCGTGCGCGCGCGCGCGCGTGCGCGCGCGCACACACACACACACACACACACACACACACACACACGGGGTGGGGGCGGGGAGGGCTCAAACTGTTTCAAAAATGTAGTCATTTATTTTCTGGAGCTTTTTGTTTCCATGAAAACGTTTCTGGAGTAGACTCACTTTTACTGTATTTCTTCCTATTTCCTTCTCGGTCCACTGCAGTGGAACTGCTCTTATCCAGACAACTCGTGACCTCTTTCCTGTGCAAGCACTTGAGGCCTATCTCCTGGACTTCTGGTCATTACGGGTCTCTTCAGACCTCTCTGTACGGTTTGAATAAATGATGTCCAGTCATCTTCAGATTCCCCTATGTCCTCAGGCCTTTGAGGATTCCTTTGCCTTTTGATCTTTCAATGTTGGTGCTCTTGGTTTTTGCTTTCTACTTGCCCTTCCTGGGATCTGTTAAGTCTTGCTGTGATTTAAATGTGCTTCTTTGAGATCCATTATGCTGGAAACCCAGTGCAATAAGTAGTATTGAGAGGGCTGGCCCCTCAATGAGGTGATTAAGTCACAGGCTCTGCTTTCATTGGCAGAATTAGTGTTCCTATGAAGCAGAAAGCCCTCGCTGGACATCAAACATACTAGCACCTTGATCTTGAACTGTTTTCTAACTGTAAAAAACAGTTTATACTGTTTGCAAATTACCCAGGCTAACTGTTATAGTAGTGCAAATAGAGTAAGATTGATCTCAAGACTGATTAGCTACAATCAACCCCTAAGAAATCCCTCTCCTGCTCTGATCTCAATTACACATCCAGCTGCATGCTGGCTATCTCATTAAGCACCCAATACACCCCAAAATAAACTCACCTTGTTTCTCCTGAAGTTGTGAACTATGAAGTGTTGTTTACCATCTCAGTGGCTGACACAGTCACCCACAAACCCAGCACCAGCTCACCTTCATTCCATTTTACCCCAGCTCAAGTTCCCAGACTGTTCTCATCCCACCTACTGAGTGTGTCTGTCTGGCCTTCCTCCAGTCTTGCTACTATTGCTACAACTCCAGCCTCATTTATTGACCACTTTAATAGTCAGATCTGTCAAATTCCCATTTCCCCTCTAAAATACTGATTGGATCCAATGGCTCTTCTGCTGAGACCTCTCCGATGGTTCTTTATCTGTAGGGTAATTTGCCTAACCCTCTGTCTATTATTGTAAGAGGCTTAATGTGGCTCAGGCATTGTCTGCTCTGAGTTCTCTTCCATTCCAGGAATACCCAACTATTTTTAGTTCTCTGGTATAGTATCTGAACTCAGGGTTCGCTCTTTCCTATATTATTTTCTGTACCTAGAATGCTTTCTTTACAAATTATGTTGAAATACTTTGGGTACTGTCTTTTATAACAAGGTCCACAATCAATTTTTTTTTTTTTGTTAAATGCACTTATGTGGGCCATGTGTGTGCCTGATGCCCTCAGAATCAGAAGAGGGCGATGGCTCCCCTGGAACTGGAGTTATGGATAGCTGTGAGCCACCATGCAGGGTGAACCATCTCTCCAGCCCTTTAAATGAGGAAGTAACAAGGATTTTTTTTAACACATGAGTATTCAGTTGCCCCAGAACTATTTATTACAACCATCATTTTTTCCTACTTGTCACTGGTTTACTCTCTGTCCTTATCCCAGTTCTGTGGCCCAAGTTACACTTTAGGTGCCACCATCTTGCTTTTTAAGACATGGTCTCGAGAACTCGCCAATTAGGCTAGGCTGGCCCGCTAAGGAGCCCCAGAAATTCACCTGTCTCCACCTTGCCCAAGCCACAACAGGCTTGGTTTTTTCACATGAGTTCTGAGGACTGAATTCAGGTCCTGTTTGCATGACAATGACTTTATTAACTGGGATTCCTTCCAAGGCCTATACTTTTTTGTTTTTTTCGAGGACAGGATTTCTCTGTGTAGTTTTGGTGCCTGTCCTGGGTCTTGCAATGTAGACCAGGCTGGCCTCAAGCTCACAGAGATCCACCTGGCTCTGCCTCCTGAGTGCTGGGATTAAAGGCGAGGGCCACCACCGCCTGGCCCCAAGGCCTATACTTTTTAAAATTATTAATAGCTGATAGGATAAATCCTCCAGCTTTACTGTCTTCTAGATCTGTGGTTTTCAACCTTTTTATGTAGTTCCTCATGCTGTGGTGACCAGAACATTTTTGTTGCTACTATATAACTGTAATTTTGCTTTGGTTATGAATCGTAAATATCTGTTTCCTGATGGTCTTAGGAGACTCCCATGAAAGTGTTGTTCGACCCGCCAAAGAAGTTTTGACCCACAAGTTGAGAACCACTATTCTAGATTGTCTTGGCTGTCTTTAACCTTTACATTATTCCATTTAAATTTTAGAATGAGTTAGCCAATTTACACACATATACACACAACCTGCTGGGATTCATTAAGATGAGATTAGACACATAGATTCCTATGGGGGATCTGATCACTGTAAGCATTCAGTTGGTATTCTTTCTCAATAGCATTATTTTCAGCAGAGTTCTTGGGTGTCTTTCCCAAGACTCATTCCTAGATGTAACATGACAAGTCATCCCAAAAGCTAGTGGATCTTAATCCCTTGGCCTTCTAAATGTTGTATTATTTGAAACGAAGGTCTGTCTATGTCCTGGCTTCTTCTGAAACCAACATAAGCACCATGCAAGTTAACCTGCTGC